GTTCTCTCGCATTGGGCCAGACATTTTCTTCCCCGGGAGCTCGAGAGCTTTTCTCGAGGTGTCTTCATCGATCTTTATTCTTTTCTTGAACTGTAGTGCCCAATTGGAGTGGCGTGGGTAGGCGATACCAGGGTTCACTCTTGCAGAGAAAATAGTTCCAAGAGCAGATTACGAGGTGTCAAATGGGGAGAGAGAAGCAAGAAACAAAAGTCTCATAATTTCAGCGGCTCCAGGCAGAAGCGGGAGTCTTTGGAGGCTGAGTGCGAAGTCCCTCACCCCGAAACCACTACCTCACCAAGGCTCAGACCCCAGGGTTTTGCGAGTGGATCTCCTTTCTTCTCTGCGCCCCCAGCAAAAAGTTCCCTGAGCTGTCAGAGAATCCCTCATCTTCCTTTGTCCAAGTTTGCCACTTCACCGGGTCAGACCAGGCTTCTCGCTTTGTCTTACCCCTCCGCCCTCGATAGATATCCTTTCTCCCTCCCCCACCTACTAGGGGCAGGCAGGAGGCATTCCGAGAGGCCCGAAAATTCAGGCTGAAATCGCCTGGGATGGTCGGTTTGGGGGAAGGAAGTGACGCCCTGACTTTCGGCCGCTTTGGTAGGTGGTAATCCTCCCAGCAAATCACGTCTTGGGAGAAAAAGATGTGATCGGGTTAAGGGAAAGTCTGCGCTTGCTAGAGTTCTCACTACCGCAAAGGCGCTAGGCAAGCCCCGAGAGGGAGCGAGGGCTCTCGGGCCCTTTTCTTCTAGCGGATTAAAATTTGGGGAGAGGGACTCGCCACCCCCTGCTGGAAAAAAAACAAATCCACTTGCAGTTCTTTGCAGCAGATCTAGACCCCAGCCTCGGTGGGATGTCCGCGGAAATGTGATTTCAAACATTTATTAAGCATTACGACGTGCTTGGTACTGTGCCAAGCTGGGAATACAAAGAACGGCAAAAAGACGGTCCCTGCCCTCAGGGAGCTCACATTCTACTGAGGGAGACGACATGCAAACAACTAAGTTCGTGCCAGATACAGACTTTGTGAGTGGGAGCTAATCTCTGAGGCGAGGCCCTGAACTAAGGAGTCAAAGGATTCTACCAGTGTGTGATATTGGAAAAGTCGCCAAACCTCTATAGACCTCAGTTTCCTTATCTGTAAAATAAGGGGATTAGATCAGAAGACCTCTCAGGTCCCTTCTAGATCTATAGGAGAGGTATGGAGCATAATGGACATAGGACCAACCAATCTTTGAGTCAGAAAGGGTCATCAACAAGCTATGGAGTCTTGTGGGAAGACACCTGATCTAGAACTCAGATCCATGTTCTAGCTCTGTCTGTGCCACTAAGATTAATTAAACACCCATACATTTAGAGCTAGAAGGAACCTTGGAGGTCACCTAGCCCAATGACCAATGTTTCCTCAGTTCTCCCCCTTCAAAGGGAGGGCGGTGGATTAGATTTAGTTTTTAAAGGTGTTATTGATGCCTTTTTTTATTTTTTACATGACTCCTCAATGACACCTAAGTTTCAAAGTGAAAAGGGTACTGGGCCTGGAGTCAGGAAGGCCTTGAGTTCAAATCCAGCAGCAAACTCTTACTAGCTGTTGACCCTGGGCAAGTCACTTAAACTCTTTTTGCCTCAGTTTCCTTAACCGTAAAGTGGGGATCATAACAGCACCTAGTTCACAATGCTTAGCACAGTGCCTGGCATATAATAGGTACTTAACAAATGTTTATTGATTGACAGGTTATTGTCAAGATCAAATAAAATAATATTTGTAAAACAGCACAGTGCACGACATGGTAGGCACTACATAAATGCTCATTCCCTTGTTGCTTATTCCCCCAATGACTTCCCAAATCACCACCTCAGTGGAGATAACAAGTAACAAAGAGATATAGTTAAGCAAAATACTCCCAGCACCCACCAAGACATGCTTCATTCAACACCTTTGGAATCTCTGATAAGAGGAGGAGGAAGCATGCTTCCTCCTTCCTCATCTGAAATCAGAACTGGTCACTGTGCTGGTGTCTTTTAATGTTTTCCTTGACATTATTATGGTCATTGTGTAAATCATTCCTCTAATTCCTTTTATGTTGCAACATGTCTTGCGTATGTATCCTCCCTAGTTTCTCTAAATGGCTCATACTCATCATTTCTAGTGATAGTAATTTTCTATTACATTCATATACCACAATTTGCTCAATTATTCCCCAATCACTGGGCACCCATTTGGTATCCAGTTCTTTGCTATTATAAAAGCCACTACAAATATTTTTGTATAGGATATCTTTGTTTTATTTTAATTTAATTTACTTATAAATTATAATAATTAATTTAACTTAACTTTTAATTTAAATATTTTTCAGTTAATTGTCTCTCCCTCCTACCTTCCCCCCAAACACATATACACATCCATTGGGAGAAAAGAAAAATAGAATGTTTGTAACCCATATGCATAGTCAAGTAAAACATTCAATTATGTCACAAAATGTTCATTCTGCATTGACTCCATTTACCTCTCTGTCAAGAAGTATATTGTATGCTTCATCATCACTCCTATAGGGGAATTTTCTAATTAGATGATTTCTCAAGCTTTTCCAGCTGTGACATTTTAAGGAATCTTTTTAAAATTTGAATTTGGTCATCTAATGAATTAGTTCTTTTTCCTGGTTTTCAGTAATCTGAAGATTCAATAAACATGCTTTCTATTTCATCATCCAAGTAATTTGTAAACATATTAAACAGGATTGGGCTGAGAATAGAGTCTGGAGCATGTATCTTGAGACTATTCCCCTCCTTGCTATATCATTCCCCTCCTCCATTTAATGATTGACAAATGATTCGGTAATGAACACTCTTTAGGCATAGGGTAGCTCTCCTCCCTCTTAGACTGTAATGCTCATGAGGGGAGAAAGTGTATGATTTTTCATCTCTGAATTCCCAGAGGCTAGCAGTGTTGTGTATGGTTGAGAGCTCATAATATCTATTGAATCTAACTGAATTGAGAGGCATGGTGGCATATTAAGTAGTATGGGCTCTAAGAGAGGATCTGGATTCACATTCTTACTATGAGACTTACTATCAAGGGCAGCTAGGAGGCGCAGTGGATAGAGTACCGGCCCTGGAGTCAGGAGGACCTGAGTTCAAATCCAGCCTCAGACACTTGACACTAGCTATGTGACCCTGGGCAAGTCACTTAACCCCATTGCCTAGCTAAAGAGAGAGATTGGGGCATGGGGGAGGGGAGAGAGAGAGAGAGAGAGAGAGAGAGAGAGAGAGAGAGAGAGAGAGAGAGAGAGACTTACTATGTGACCTTGAACTTAACATCGCTGGTTCTCAATGTCTTCATCTGTAAAATAAGGCCTGAAATTTCTTCCAGCTTTATATCCATGATATTATGAATTGAATTGAATTGAATTGGAGTGGTCAATTAACCTACTGTGAATCCACTTAATCCATTCTATCATCAAGCCTGATCAAATCCATTTTGCCCAAAAGAACATTGGAAGGGAGACTCTGGGTGGTGTCTTGGAAAGAACATTGTCCTTGGGGTTAGAACACCTGGGTTTGTGTGCTATGTTTATTCCTTCTAAGATGTATGGCCTTTGTCGAGTAACTTAAGTTCTCCAAGCCTCAATTTCTTCATCTGTAAAATGGAGACAATACATAATCATAAGATTCTAAGAAAGAAGGGACTTTAATGGTACTTGCATGACTTCTCAGAGTGTTGGCTAGAAAGTGCTTTGGAAAATTGAAATGTTCTTGTGAGTTTATGATTGTTAAATGCCTTGCTGAAATACAGATGCACTAAGTTTGCCAGCTAAGAAACCCCATTAAAAATGCAGCACAGATTTAAAGCAGGAAGGGAGCTTAGAGGCCTTCTAGCACAACCCTATCGTTTCACAGATGAGGAAACTGAGGCCCACAGAGGTTAAGTGACTTGCCCAAAATCATCTAGGTAGTTAAGTGTCCCATCAGGATTCAAACCTAGGTCTTCAGACTCTACAATCCGTGGTTTTTCCCGCTGTAGCATACTTCCTGCCAAATAAATTGTTATTCTGGAATGGCTTGGGGTTTTTCTTGCTTGTTTTGTCTTCATACTGCTGCAGCTGCTGCTTAGCAGAATCGAGCTGCTGACTCTTATCCCTGGTTGCCTTCTGCCTTCTGATCCAACCCCACAAAGCGGGCAAGAGATGCCATTACCTAGCGCTAGGGGATATTTGCTGGGTAATCCATGTCCCTTCTGGTTAGAATGGGGTAGGCAGCTTCTCACCTATATCACTCACCTCACCCCCTAATAATATTATGGAGACAGAACCAGTCATCGTATGGAAATCTAGACTCAGGCAGGAATTTCAAGCTCACCCAATCAGAGGGTGATAACCAGGATGGAGTGAAGAGAGCTTTGTCCCAAGGTATCAGTTTTAAGCTGTATACAATTTAAAAGGCACTCCCCTGGAATGGGAACAGCAGTGCTTGGCCCCTACTTTGCAGCAGCCTCGACTGTCTGCCCCAACCCCTCAAGCGGGGGTACACCGTGGTACTTGAGCAGGAGCTCAAATTCTGCTTCATCAAGTGGACCCTCCTGCTCACCGGGGGCTGCTCCTCAGCAGCCTCGGCTCACCAGACCTCCTTTGTAGAGCTAGACGGCACTTTGAAGCCATTTAGTGCAACACTTTAGAGTCTAGAAAGCTAATCCAGAATCCAAATGACTTGTACAAGGTCACACAGGTAACGAGAGGCGTCTCTCACAAAGTGGTCATTCATCCTCTGTTAGCTGGCACACTCTTTGAGAGCTCTTCTTCCACATGTTTGGCCCAGATGAGAAACGTGTTGGGAATTCTTCCCAGGTGCCTTCCTGAGAGCTTCTGTCTCCTCTGTCATTTTAACTCCCAGGGCAAGCTCCCTTCCACCCTGGTCCTAGACCTCCTACCTCAGGTTCCTATCCATGAATCAGATGGTCTCCAAACATGCCTGTCAACTAATGAGCTTGCCCTCCTTCTTACTTCCTGCAGATGCCAAGGGTACCATCCGGGAAATTGTCCTCCCCAAGGGTCTCGACCTGGATCGACCAAAGAGGACTAGGACATCCTTCACAGCTGAGCAGCTGTACCGTTTGGAAATGGAGTTCCAGAGGTGTCAGTATGTTGTGGGGAGAGAAAGGACTGAGCTGGCTCGCCAACTGAACCTCTCAGAAACCCAGGTAAGAGTCTCCAAGGAGTACTCTTCTCCATCCTCCCTTGCTCCCATAGCCTGATATTCTGATTATTGTTCTGCCTGATTCTTCTGGAAGCCCATAGTCTGATGAGAAACCCTGGATGTCTAAATCAACAAGAATGCTTTGGACAACATCCCAACAAGTAATCACCCTTGCTTTGTTTGAAACCATCCAATAACAGGAAACCCACTCCCTTGGAGGCAGCCCATTGGGCTTTTGGACAATTTGGATTGTTAGGAAGTTTTCCCTTACAGTGAACCGAAATCTCCCTCTCCATCACTTCTATCCATTGCTCCTTGTTCTGACCTCTGGGGTCAAGCAGAATAAACCAAATCCCCTCTCCACATGACTTCCACAATTCCTTCACCCAGTGCTCCATCTTCTACATGTTCTCCAGCTTATCCATATTATTCCCCCCCCCAAAAAAAAAATGGTCCCCAGAGCCAAATACAAGGTTCCAGGTATGGTTTCCCTGAATGATGAAGTTTCATTCTTTATCTTCAAAGAGGCCCCTGTTGGGAAGAGAACCCTAGATCTCAGAGCCATAACTAGGATTGGATGTTCAGAACTTTGACTCAGGATGCCAAAAGATAGAATGTTTCAGATTTAAAAGGCACTAAGAGAGCTCTAGAAGGGGAGTGCATTCAGACACCTACCTGGCTCTTAATTCAATGCACTTCTATTTTATCACATTGCCTTCTCCAGAGGACAAATCACAAGAAGTCAACATTATAGATTCAGTAAAAGGAAAAGGAAAAGGAAAGGAAGAAAAAGAGAGGAAAGGAAGAGAGCAGGAAGGGAAATCAGAAAGGGGAAAGAGAGAGGCAAAGAGGAGGCACAAACAGGAAGGCAAGAGGAAGAGAGAGGAAGGGGGTGATTCAGTCTAATTAGCAAGCTGTTTTCCTCCTTCAGAATGGCTGTCACTGATCAGGCTTGAGAAGTGACAGTTTGTTTTCCCTGATTACTCCTATAGAGCTTAAAATAAGCCAGGCAGAAGCACCTGGGCTCACGAGTCTCCACTGTTCTCCATCTGGCTGGCCCAGCCTTAACAGCCAAGAAACCAGCCCCAACCTATGGGTACTAAAGGATGACAGAGGTGGGAGGGCAGAGTTGTAAGCCTCAGTTGTCTCATATGTAAAATGTGGGGATTACTCTGATAAGCTCCCTTCCAGTTCTAAATATCTGATTCCTTTCACTTGTTACTGCTCAGGCTCCCTCATTTTCAACTCTTATCCTAGTTAGGGTCCAAAATTCCTTTTCATTCCTATCATATCCCTGGGTCCAAATCCTGGGTCCCTTTAAGTCATCCTGGGACTCCACTTAGCAAAACTGATATGGCACTGAGTACAGCTGAGATGAAGTTCATTTTTTCCGTCTTTCACAATGCCTCTGGTTGCCATCCAAATTAATTCCTGTAGAAGGTTGCAATGGAACTGGAGAGCATTGTTCAATTCATCGGTAGTCCAAATTATTGTACTCCCTGTATATGTCATTATTATGACCTGTGCTTGCATCACCATCATCACCATTAGAACTCACACTTGTACATCATCTTAAGATTTATAAATAATAACTCACTTTAAGGAATACAAAATGCTTCCCTCACAACAGCCCCAGGAGGCAGCTATAGAGAAAAATGGATGAGGAGTCAAGAAGACCTGAATTCAAATCCAGTCTTAGACATTTACTAGTGACCCTGAGCAAGTCACAATCTTCCTAAATGTCAGTTTTCTCAACTGTAACAGCACACTCCTCTCGGGGTTGTTTTGAGAATTAAAAAAATTGTAAACTGCTTTGCAAAGCAAAGAGCCCTACATAAATGCTGGGAATTATTAATTAACATCATTCTCATTTTACACATAAAGAAGCTGAGAGGAAGAGAAATGAAAGCCCTGGTGTTGTGAGGACTCTAATTCTGGCTTCTGACCCAAGGGTTCATTCTTAAAAAAAAAAAAATTATTTTTTAAAAATTCTGAACTTAACAAATATCAACAAACATGAGCATTTCTGTTATGCAAAGAAGAACACAAAAAAAGGGGATTACATGTAAGTCCTCAAATCTCTATTAGATTCACTCGGGTTTTTTTTTTAAGTATATATTAAATTTAACACTAAAGTATCAACCCTGCTCTCTGTATTTGTGCTCCATTCTGAACTCTCTTCTGCTCATGTCTGTGTATTTTTAATATTTTATTGAAGCTCTTTTCTTTTTTTCTTCCTATTTTTTTACATCAATACCACTATTCATCTCTCCCACCTCCAACATCTTTTCTTTCCCCACTAAATGTAAAAGCCTTGCTTAGTAACAAATAAATAGTTGAGCAAAAAATTTTCACATTGGCCAAGTCTCAAAAGGTATGTCTCTTTTAGCCCCTATAATCCACCATTCTTCTGTGAAGAGGGAGCTGCTCTGGAGTCATGGTGGGTCAAAGTCTTTTGTCTTTACGGTGTTGACACTGTTTTAGTTGGTTCTGCTTACTTCAACCTTCATCAGTTAATATAAGTCTCCCAGATTTCTCTGAAATCATTTTCTTTGTCATTTTTTTAAATAGTGCAGTAATATTCCATTGAGCAGCTAGGTAGCACAGTGGATAGAGTGCTTAGCCTGATGTCAGGAAGATCTGAGTTCAAATCTAGTCTCAGATACTTACTAGCTGTGTGGCCCTGGGCAAGTTACTTAACCCTATTGGACTTGGTTTCCTCATCTGTAAAATGAGCTGGAGAAGGAAATGGCAAATCACTCCAGTATCTTTGCCAAGAAAACCCCAAATGGGGTCATGAGGAGTCAGACCCGACTGAAACAACTGAACAAAACCAACAAAAATATTTCATTGCATTTAGATTCCATAATTTGTTCAGCTTTCCCCCACTTAATAGATATCCCCTTTGTTTCCAGTTCCTTGCTACAATAAAAGGGACTGTTATAAATATTGGGGTCTTTGTCTAGCAGTTCTTTGATCTTTTCGGGGTATATGCTTAGGACTGGTATCACTGGGTCAAAGTATGCAGTTTAGATGAGCTGGTTGTAATTACAAATTGCTTTTCAGAATGGCTAGACCATTCCCAGCTTCACCATCAGTGTACTCTTAGGTCTTCATTACTTTTAGGAAAGCTATGGCTAAAGAAGCCTGGGATTGCCCACAAGAAGGCCACCACTTCAAGCTCCAACTTGGTGCCTGTCTTCCCACCGCCCCTCCAACAATAAGCCTTGCCCTTTTTTGTCATGTTCTCCAATCTGGTAGGTTTGAGAAAGTTGTTCTCATTTGAATTTCTCTACCTAAAAAGCTTTCAAAGGCTTCCCATTGACTTTAGGCTGAAATGCAAAATCCTTAGCCTTTCCATTCGTGACTTTCACATGCCTTTCATATTCTTTCTCTTCAGACACTCTCTCTGTGATAGTCAAATTGACCTATTGGCTCTCTACAGCAGACATTATACCTCCCACCTGCAGTCTTTGCACTGGTGATCCCCCACAACAGGAATGCACTACCTCCTCATCTCCTAGCTTCCTTTAAGACGTAGTTAAGGTGTTTCCACCTATAGAGGGCCTTTCCAGACACCCTTCCCCATCCCTAGTTATGAATATGATTTCCCTTTTGAAATAACTGTGGATTATTTAGTGTATATTTTGTCTAGAGTCATCTAGGTGACACAATGGATAGAGACACCTGAAGTCCCAAAGACCTGAGGTCAAATCAGGCCTCAGATACTTACTCAATGGGTTGACCCTAGGCAAGTCATTCAACCTCTGTCTCCCTTAGTTTCTTCATCTATAAAATGGGGCTGATAACAGCACCCACCTCCCAAGGTTGTTGTGAGGTTCCAATGAGATAATATTTGTAAAGCACTTGCTTTGCAGATCTTAAAGTATTATTACTATTATTTTCTGTGGAAAATGTTCTCAAAATATAACCTAGTTCCCAAAGTTTTGTCTTTGTATATACCTTGCACCCTGTCTGTGACCCTAATAAGGTAAACTTTAACAATTGTAAAGTCTTGGGACAGCTAGGTGGCGCCATCATGCATAAAGCATCCCACCTATAGGCAGGAAAACGCATCTTCTTGAGTTCAAATCTCATGTCAGAAACCCTGGGAAAGTCACTTCACCCTGTTTGCCTCAGTTTCCTCATCTGTAAGATGAGAAGGAAATGACAAACCACTCCAGTATCTCTGCCAAGAGAACCCCAAATAGAATGACAAAGAGTCAGACTCAGCTGAAACAACTGAACCACAATGCAATTATGTGCCAGGCACTGTGCTAAATGAAGGTTGAACGTAACCAAAAACATCATACCAATTATGACTCTTCAGACATGGAGGGTATGCCTTGGGTAGTAGGGTGTTCCCCTTCACTGAAAGTTTGGAGTAAAGGTTGGATGACCGTATGTTGATTATGATGTAAAGGGGATCTTTGTTCATGCGTGAGTTAAAACTAGATGCCTAGAAAGGTAGTGACCTGAAATCAAAGGACGTAGGTTCAAATCCTGCCTCTTTTCCTTAATACCTGTATGACCCTGGCTGGGTAAGTCACTTCACTTCTCTGAGACTCAGTTTCCTCTTCTGTAACATGAGGGGGTTGAACTACATGGTCTCCAAGGTATCTTCTGGCCCTATGATAAAAAGGATCATACAACATGACTACTTCATTTCCTTCCACCTCTCAGATTCTGTGGTCCTGAGCACCTCTCATGTGCCTAGCCCTCCGCTAGGCTATGCTATAAGGGAGAAAAGGAGATGAGGAAAGACCAGGCTTTTGCCCTTAGGAAGTTTGAACGATAATGATTGGGAGCAATGATGATGGTAATAGGGGTGATTAAATGATAGTAGAAATGATGGTGATGATAATTGCGATGAAGATAACGTGTAGCATTTTCAGGATGTAACTTGGATCTGGATTGCCTTATAAACTCCTCATCCCAGAACAGGAGCTACAGACACTATACCTACATCCAGAGTCCTCAATGCCAAATGCTTTTCTAGAGAATGGTCAGCAGAGGGAGCCTCTAGTAACCATGGTGTCCTGTTCTGGAAGTCTTTCAGACTGGAAAGCAGAAGGCCAGAACATCACAATTCTCTGTTTTTTCAGAAGGAAGCCCAGAGAGGGGTGGGATGGGAGCCACATTCCTGTTGGAACCACAGATCTGGAAAGAAGCTTAGAGACCATGAATTCCAGCACCCTCCTTTTCCAGATGAGGAAACTGAGCCCCAGGGAAGTTGTGTGACTTGTCCCGGGCCACACAAGGTAGCAAGAGGCTGAGCCAAACTTTGAGTTCTTATCACCTGACTCCCAAACCAATGTGATTTCTAGGGCACTATGTTGACATTAAGGTTAGGACAGGTTTAGGATGAGACCTCTGGGAGACCACTATCTCTATGATGTCAGATGGGTCCTTTCCCTTCTGCAGGCCTTTTTTTTTTCCTCATTCATTAATGGTAGGGCTGGACTAGATGACCTTTAAGGTCTTTCCCAGCTCTAGATTCTATGACTTTTTGAATCTCTGTTCCCATGAACATAAGCGATTCAAAGCAGCTCAGTAGTTCTGATGGCTACCTACCCTTAGGCATTGGGATTCTCCATTGAAGAAATTTTTAAGGATGAAGATGGACTGGCAGAGGGAAGTAGGGGGACAAAAGTTAGGGAGACCTCTGGATGCTCTACCCCAAAAAGGTCATTGGTTGCCTGTTTAATAGAATCTGTCTCTCTTCTCTCTCCCTTCTTTTCCTAATCCCTCCTTCTTGCTCTCATCACCACCTTCTCTCCTTTTTGCCATCTAATATTTCCCCATCTTCTCACTGGCTTGGCCAAAACCATTGCTTCTCGTCACCGCCCTCGTTTCTGTTTTCATGTCTCCCACTCTCTCTCCCTCTCATTTGTCTTCTCTGTATTTCTTGCTGTTCCTGACTCCCGACTTCTCTCTTCCCCTCTACTCTTCCTTCCACCTCACCAAGGTCAAGGTCTGGTTCCAGAACCGCCGGACAAAGCAGAAGAAGGACCAGAGCCGGGACTCAGAGAAGAACTCATCAACTTCCACCTCTGAGGCGTTTGCCACATCCAACATCTTGCGACTGTTGGAGCAGGGACGTCTTCTCTCAGTCCCCAGGGCCTCTAGCCTCCTGGCCCTGACTTCCATACCACCAGGCCTGACCACCAGCAACGGGACCACCACCCTGGGGCTCCCCCGGAACTCCTCTTCAAACCTCATGGGGAACAGCCCGACTGAGAGCCCCCCCAAGGCAGGAGCCCCTTTTAGCCTAATTGGGCCCCAAATGGCCTCAGCCTCAACTTCTCCTCGGCTGCCACCCCCACCACCTCCACTTTGTTTCACCACAACCTCACTCCTGGACTTGCCCAGTGGGTATGAATTGGGCACTTCGGCCTTTGAGCCATACAGTCGACTGGAAAGGAAAAACAGTGGCCCTAGTAGCAAGAAGGCCAACACAACTTAACCACCTCCTACCCCACACTGACACTCCCTCCCCATCACACCTCCATTTGTCCCTCCACCCCATTACCCCAGCCAGGGAGTAAGGAGAGAAAGACTTTCCCACTCTCCATTAATCTCTCTCTCCCAGCTGAAAAAACTCATCAAGCAAATGTCTGGGCGGTTTGTGTGTATGTGTGTGTGTGTATGTGTGTGCGCTCACTCCAGTGAGTGTGCAAGTATGTGTCTCTCACACAAATAAAAGGAAAGGCACAAGAATGAAGGAGATAAAATAACTGCCCTGCCCTTCCCACCAGACTTCTAATCCTCAAGCCTTCCTTCCTTCCTCATTCTCCTCATCCTCTCCAGGCCCTTTTAGTAGGAGCTGAACTGAGAGCAAAGAGTTCTGAGAAGAGTGAGAGGGTTAATGGTTGGAAGTAGAGCCAGAGTGCTGGTTTTCCTATATGTGCTGGAAGGTGGCTTCTGTGTGTTCAGGGCCCCTCTTAACATGTAGATGCCACAGCTGGCCTCCCCTGCAGAGGATGTGGTTGCTTACACAAGGTGATATGAGGGAAGGTTCCTCCCTTCCAAAAATATCTCCCCCACCCAGGTGCCACAGTGCCTGAAATTCCATCATTAACACACAATCCCCTTGAGTTCATCACTACTCTTTCTCTGTTAAAATGATAACTACCTAGGGAGGTAGGGTGGGGAGGAATGCATTCAGTCCCTAAGTTAATGTGGGTGGTAAGGGTGATAAGATGGAAGAAATAGGCTCAGAAAGGGGAGGATGGGGGGAGTGAGGACAAAATTTGCTAACTTGGAAGTTTTGCCAATACATTCCATATTTAGGGAAATGGACCCATAGTGGGGCCACCTTTCCTGAACCTACCTTTCAACTGGCACAAGGCAGGATCCTACAGAAACAGGCAATAAGAGATTCCTTACTTTTATGCCTCCACTTTTATGCTCCAGGAGAGCAGGCCTGGAAAAGTGTTCCAGGGGTGATGATATGGTGATAAGTGGGGTGTGGGAAATGGCGGGGAGTGTGGAGAGGGAGATTGCTTTGCAATGTTGTACATTACATGGAAGGATCTAAGAACCAATAAGAAAAATGCAGATGGCATAACCAAAAATAAATGGCTGAGGTTAGTGCATGGTAGACAACGAGTCTCGAATCCTAGGAGATGAGTCTCAACCTCAGGGAAAGGGTAAGATAATCATTGTCATCATTCTCTGCCTTTCATAGTATACCTTCAGTAAAAAAGAATGTGGGTCTACTCTCCTAAGAGGGGAATCACAGAATCCCTAGGGTCAAAATATTGTGTCCTCACTCACCACCATCCCTATCATCACTTCTATCATGACATCACCTTCACTGACACTCTCTCTTCACCACCCTTCATTATCATCACCATTTCCATCATCAATAACACAGTATCCACACTAACATTATGAAGTGTGATCCCCATCACAGTCATCACCACCATTATTACCATCAGCAACACCATCACCATTATCACTATAAATATGTTATCATTAGCATCACCATCATTACCATTATCACTACCATCATTACCATAACTATACCACCAACATTATCACTACAAATACACAATCACCACCACCACCACCATCATGATCACTATAAATATATCAGTACCATCATCATCATAACTATTGTCACTTTCATCATAACTACCTTCATCCCCATTAATGTTCTTATCATCATCAAAAACACTGTCTCACCCTCGTCATTATCAATATCCTCACCATCCAAATATCACTATGCCCAACAACTATCCATGTCAAAATCACTGTCACCAATGCCATGGCCCATCCTGATCACAATCATAGTTATCACAATCCTCATCACTTCTATCATCATCATCATTGTAAATTGCTAGTGTCACTGCCCCCACAACCACACTTCTTTGTATGGCATAGGGAAAGTTAGGAAGAATGAGAAGACAGAACCCTTCAGCTCTGAGAAGGAGATATAGTACCACACACACACATACACCTTAGAGGTCCCAGCCCCCGGGGGGCCTAAAAATCTAGTAGAGAGACAAATGGCACCTTAACACAACTAAAGAAGGAGATGGCTTCAGCCCCAGGGTATAAAGCCTTCTCTATCAGTGGCAATGACCCCATTTCCTCAGAACTCATCCTTGTCTCCCTAAAGGAACTCCTGGGAACAACCTCCAAACAGTCCCCCTCCCTACATCTCCCTTTTCCCTTTATCTAGCTACCTTTATCCTGGATTTAGATCCTGGCTTTGTCAACATCTTGTGTGATTTTAGGAAAATCACCTAATGTGTCTGGGCTTCAGTTTCCTCATCTGTTAAATAAGGGGATTTGACCGGGTGACTTTTAAGGTGCCTTCCAGGGATACATCTCTGATTCTGAGATCCTATCCAAAGGGGTAGCCCTTAAGGAAGGGGTAGGATCTAAGTAGAGGGGAGGAGATAGGAGATTCCTCTGGGGCAGAGAGAACAGCTGCCTTCTGAAAGCCTAGCATTTCCCATTTACTGTCAACAAGTGTGGAAAAGAGGAGGAGGAAGGGGCTGAGCTAGGCAGGCAGGAGGCAGCCCTCTCCAGCTCCAGCCCAGACTCTTAGTTTAACTGCTGACTGCCCTGGCTTCATCCATCTCCACTGCTGAGAGTAGACCAGCCGGGAAATGGCAACTGAGGTAGAGTCTAGGCCAAGTGACATCCTGGGCACCTTCGGAGCAGAAGCTGCAGCTGGGGAACACATCCAGGCAGTCACACGAAACTACATCACCCATCCCCGAATCAGTGAGTTATTCCCCCATGGCACGAGAGGGCTCTCCAGGGAGGGGTGGATAGGTTCCCTGCTACACAGCATCCCACTTCCCTGGACCCTTTCAGGTGAGGGGGAAACCATTGGATGGCCAGGATGCCTCAGTCTTTTGGGGGTGGAGGGCTGGGGAGAGGAAATGTCCCTCATGCTGCCTGTGATCCTCCTGTATGTTGGGCCTGTTCCTATGTCTGTCTTCATAGCATGGAGTAAAAAAGTACTTTACAGACCTGATAGTGGGATGGGAATTGGGGGGGGGGGGTGAGAGACTGGCAGAGTTAGGGGGTCGTGAGGCACCTTTGCTCAAAGCCTTATATTACAGGGCAGTAGGAAGTGGAATTGGGGAGGAGGAGTATCTCCAAGTTGTCAACTCTCTCCCTCTCCCTCTTCAATCTGGCTGCCATCAACTCTGACTCTGGGTTTCCCTCGTTCCTCTCTCCCCCTAAACTAGCAAGGATCCTACAACAAAGAGGGCTATTCTGTGTCTTCTCTGCTGTCCCCACCCTCAACCATACCGACACCCACAGTTCCGACAAGCTCCTATGGAAACTATGGACAGGTTCTGGGCTCCCCACAAACACGTCAGGTGGAGGACAGCCCTGCAAACCATGTATGGATGCCAAAGTGTGTGGAGTGTGCTAATGTGGGTGCCAGCTGTGCCCATTGTGGAGGGTGCTTGGAGGGGGCAGACATGCAAGCAACACTGTATGTCTATTTATGGGTGTTCCCAGCTCCAGAGATTTCAGGGCAACCACGATCCTAAGGTCTCCCCCTTCGAGTCACCCTTTTCCCTCTTGGCCCATATCCATCTCCCTCCCTCAGTCTTACACACATACACGCACACACACACACACACACACACACCCCCTACTTCCCCTCACCTTTACCAAGGTCACACCTGCCATTCGGCTAGCTGGGAGCACCTTCTTCCTGGAGAGTAAACTGACAGAGCTAGCTCCTCCCCTCAGCCCTGGAGGGTTCAGAACTCCCCGGAGCCGCCTCAGACTACTGAAAGCTGGTCAGACAGAGACAGAGGTGAGCCCTGGCTGGCCCTGAAAAGGAAGGAGCTGAGAGAGGAGGGGGAGGCTTAGCCTCCGCACCTCCTGAATGCCCCAGGAAGGGAAGACTTTTTGCTAACCAGGTTGGAGACTTAGATCCCACTAAATTCAGCAAACTTTCGTTAAATGTTTACTATGTTCAAGTGACTGGGCTAAGGACTAGGCATACATGGATGAGACATGCTCTCTAGGACCTTATAGTCTGGGAAGGAGGGCTGAGAGGAAGGGGATAAAATATGGAGGTAATTAACTATGATAAAAGCCAGAATGTGGGAGAGGCAAAGGAGACAGACCATGTACCAGGGTACAAAGTACCATGAGAAATTTGAGAAAGGAAAGATTTAGAGGTCAAGGAGAGCTTAAAAGTAATCCAGTCTAATCTTTCACCTCCCTGGGAGGGTTTACAATCAACAAACATTTATTAAACACTTATTATACACCTGGCATTGTGATGAGTGCTGAGGATACAACGACAGCAGCTAACATTAATAAGAATAACTAACATTTCTATAGAGCCTACGTTGGGCCAAGAACTGTACTGAGCACTTTAAAATCATCTCATTTGAACCTCACAACATCCCTGGGAGGTAGGTGCTATTATTATCTCCATTTTACAGATGAGGAAACAGAGGGCCCTGCCCTCAAAAACTCACATGCCCATGGGAGAGACAACAAACAATCAGCTATGTACAGACGAGATTTATGTTGTGAAAAGGGGAGGGAAGGTTCTAATTCCGGCAAGTGTCGGAAAAGGGAATTAGGGTTAGAAAGGGTAGTTCCAGACAGCTATGTCAGGCATGTTCCCACAGAAGGGTGTTAAGGTTAGAAAAATTACATCAAAAATGGAAGGAAGAAAGAAAGAGGAGAGGAGGAAGGAAGGAAGGAAGGAAGGAAGGAAGGAAGGAAGGAAGGAAGGAAGGAAGGAAGGAAGGAAGGAAGGAAGGAAGGAAGGAAAAGAAAGAGGATTCCAGATATGCATTCCAAGAGGACATTAGAGGCCATCTGGTCTGACTGCTTTGTTTTACAGATGCCCAATCTAAAGTCCAGAGAGAGAAGTTATATGATTTCCCCTAAGGTCCCACTGTCAGTGGAAGAAGTAGGATTTGGGCTTAATTCCCATGATCTTTACCTGCCTCTTGTTTTGAGTTAAGATTGGGGTGAGATGATGGGAGGAGTACAGGGAAGGCTCAACGGAGACTATGATGCTAGAGTTGACCTTGAAAGAAAAGAGTTTTTGTCTTGGAGTCAGGAAGACCTAGGTTCAAATCCTGCTTCACGTACTAAGCTATGGGGTTCTGGATAAATCCCATCACCTCTCTAGAACTCATTTTCCTCATCCTGAAATGAGAGGGCTGTACTAGATGGCCTCTAAGGTCCCCCTGACTCTATTCTGGGGTCCTGGGGTCCTAGGTAAAGATGAAGGTGGGACAATCTGTCCCAAGGATGTATGTGAGCAAAAGTGCAGAGGAACCAGTAGAGGGCTGCACAAGAGATGGAGACCAAGAACAGTACAATTTGACCAGAAATAGAATATGTGAGAAAAGGTGGCTTGAAGTCAGAGTGTGAATGGCCCAATATACCAGGACTGAGAGCCTATGCTTTATTTCCTAGGCAATAGGACACACGGATGGCTGCTGAGTAGAGGAGTCAGGAGACTGGGAGGGGCAATGAACAATGAGAAGGGAGTTGAAGGAGCGGATGAAGATCCCCTAGTCTGATGGTGGAGATGTAGTCCTTGTCCTGGGGATGATCCAGAAGGAGGGAGCCCCATCCTCTAAGAGGCTGAGTGTCCTGATGAGATCCTGCCCTTCAGGAAACTTAGAGATCTGATAGAGTTGAGAAAGAACATGTACAGAGAGATAAGGACTGAGCCAGAAGTATAGACACTAGTGCTGGGATAGGGAGAGAAAGGTGCCGGGTGGAGCTAAGTGACCAGAAGGTCTGGCCATCATTGGGTCCAGTGTCCAGGACCTTTGGCTCCCTGGATCCCTCCCCCCCACCCCAGATAGAATGAACAAGGAAAGGTGACATCCTCTCCACATCCACCTCCTCAACCACTTGGCCCCAGGGTTCACACACAGCCGCATTCAGAACCAGCCCAACTGGCTTCTTTCTGATCACAGCTGCCCTCCCTGACCTGACGCAGTTTACTGTCAACAGCCAGGGAAGAGGCTGTCCTTATGCTGAGTCAAGGTCAGTGCTTTTCTACTCCCAGGAGAAGCCAAGGGACATTCTACTTCATCATCCCATATCTGACACAGTGATGACATTCCTAGGGTCTGGCAGGGCCTGGTGTGGCTAATAATGGGGTGAGCATGGCCACGCCCCATGAGGAAGTGGCATTAAAGTATACTGCACAGATTACTAACAACTTACATTTATGTAGCAGTTAAGGTTTCAGGAGTGCTTTTCTCATGACACCTCTATGAGATGGGAAGCAAAATTCTTTTTTTTTTTTTGGTCTGGACCTGCGGTTTCATTGGTGTAGGTAGCTCATTATCCATGTAAGGCAACTCAGCAAGTCTTCTATCACTTAGCTGCCTGTGATATGAAATTATTTGCTCAGTGTCACCTACATCTATTAGGTGTCAGAGAAAGGACTCTACCTCAGGTCTTCTCGACTCCAAGACTGGCTCTCCATGCACTGTATGACACTGACTTTCCCCTCTCCCCTCCCCTCTTTCCCATTAGATGTGAATTCCTTTTGGGGAGGGGGCTTTTTGGGGGCAGAGGTGCCCTTTTTTGTATTCCTAGTGCTTAGCCAAGTGTCTGGCACAAAGTAGGTATTTAATAAATGCTTGACAAAACAAAAACTGAGTCTTAGAGAGAGGAATAACATTCCCATGTTCACCCAGCTAGCATGTGGCTGAGCTGTGATTTGAATGCAGGTCTCCTGACTCCAGATACAATCTTTTCACTATACCACACTTGTGTTCACTTGTTTTCAGTCATGTTCAACTCTTCAGGACCCCATTTGGAGCTTTCTTGGTAAGATACTGGAGTGGTTTGCCATTTCCTTCTCCAGCTCATTTTATAAATGAGGAAATGAAGGCAAAACAGCTAGTGAACGTTGAGGTCACATTTGAACTCAGGTCTTCCTGACTCCAGACCTGGCCTTTTATCCACTGCAGCACCACCTAGCCATTCCTCCTGTCATTATCAACCTCATGTCAGCCATCTTTGCCTACCACAAGGGCTACAGCTGCACTCCTACCTCCTTTATGATAAAGTGGTCTTGGAACAACCCATAAAGTAATGGTTGTAACCAACACTGCAGAAGAGAGCTGCTGTGTGCCAGAGAACTGGGGGGGGGGGTGCTGCCCACGATGCAGCTACCTGGAAGACCCCAACTTTGGTTAGGTAGGGTTCTCAAATGGCCTTTGACTTTTGTTTTCAGTTTTTTTTTCTTACTGGTATGGCCAGTATTTTATGAAACTTTTATCATGGAAAATCTCTTCTGCATGGCACAGTTCAAATTTGAAGCCAGACACTTGGCTTCAAATCCTAGCTCTGCCTGTGATGACCTGTGTGACCTTGGACATGACACTAAAATTCCCTAGACCCCAGTATCCTCATGGAGGACTTGTGATCTTCAAATGCATTTCCAGCTTGAGATATGTGCTGTGATTGTTGGGGGGTAGGGGGGGCACTAAGTCTTGATTTTGGCAACCTGACCCTTGTTGCCCAGTTAACTCTAACCCTCTAAGCATCAGGTAATGGAATGATCCCTTCAGAGATGCAGTATTTGAACCTCCTTTCTAACACTCACCATCTATACGACCTTACTTAAGTCCCTACCCCTATCTGGGTCTGTTTCCTCATTTGTACAAAGATCAGGTTGAACTTGAAGGTCTAAATCTATTTAGCCCTCAACCACAAAACAAAGACATAGGCATTATGAGAATCATCATCTCCATTTT